AAAAAAAGCTTATTTTAAAAAAGAGCTCTGAGGTGCCCTGTCTCTTGAGATGTACTCTGTCAACAAAAAAAGTTTGAAGACATCACACGGACCTGAACAGAGAAATTTGGATTGCGCGTTCGACATATCATGGACTGAGAAAAAACGAAAAAGATTTATTTTTCGAATAGGAAATGACAGAAATTTTCAAAAACTTTTTGAAAAAACGAAGTATTGATTAAAAATTTTTGTCGTTTATTAGAGACTAGATCACGGACTATCTTTTCCTGCCCTTATCTCAATTTCGATCATTCTGACGAAAAGTAACTTTTTTGAAGGGGCCTTACGAAGGCGCTGGCAAATTGTTTTTCTGACAGGTTAGACAAGATAAGTCGAGGAAGAGATGAAACGCAAGGGTGTAAGTCACGTTTGAAGGCAGGGGGGAAACAGATGTTTCAACATAGAAAAGTGCTCAAAGCAGGGATGCTGTGTAGTAAAACTTCTAAAGCAAAGGAAGGCATAACACACTACGCACCCTCTCCTGTTATTTATAGCACTAATGAAACGATATGCTTCCATTAGCTCTTACCTTACATAAGAATAGAAACTTTGAAACAGGTTCGTTAACCAATATGGGCAACTAATACTTTATAGTTGCCAAAATCTGAATACTGAAATTTCGGTATTGTGAGGTGTCTGGAGGCATGTTTTGACCTATTGAAAATCCGATTATACCATTGGATAGAATTTGTCGAGTTATACTTGAAACGAGAATATAGGCTTTGGAACAAGTTTCTGAGTGAATACTGCTCGCAAATACTCGAATTCAGACCCGACTTCAGCTACATTTTCAAGGCATTGTCCAAGTAAAGATCTCAACGGTGATTGTTTTCGCTGTTAAAAAATCTGTAGAACGTTGAAATTTGAAATAATATTCGGATAAAGCAACAGATATTGGATTTAAAATCAATGACTTCAAGAACTTTTAAAGTCATGAAAGTCAAAAAAAGTCACAAAGTGAGTCGTTTTCCTCTTGCCTACACCCCAATCCACCTAACACGCACATGCATACCTACACCCACACCCTATCCTTTCTACGATGCTCCTTAGCATCGAACCAACATTGACCAATTTATTATAACTCATATTCACCATCGTCATAATACAAAGTAATATCTATCTTGGTTTTTTCAAACAATACAATTGAATTTCATAATTGTTTTACTCATCATTGGTGTTCTTCGTCTTGAAGCAAAAAGATTCATGGCATTATGCTTTGAAACATATTTTATTTCTTGTTGCTTGAAAATAAATCTATTTCAATCAAAAAACAATAATTAATGATGTACGATAGTTCCCATTCAATAACTACACGTTTTTATATCATTTTTCATGTAATCAACACTATTGGAACAACTGTACGTTCTTGCCATCGAAATAATAAACTTCTGAATTTTTGTCTTAGTTCTGGTAATGATACCACTGCAATTGTTGGAAAAAGTAGTAAAACATAGAAATTAAGTGCTTATTTATCTAATAGTTTATATTATGAACTTAATGAACGTAATATTGTTATGATTCGTCATCAAGAAAAAATTCTACTATGAAAAAAACTCTCTTTAGATAAAATTTATGATCGTGGTGTTATTGTACCAATAGTTATACGTACAATCTGTACACCATTTTTAAACGAACTTAAACGTGAAGGAATCTTATAGACTATTAAAAAGATATGGAAAATAAATGTTCATTGTTCGGTTGAAAACATTCTTCTGCATAGTGAAAAGTTCTATCCTACAATAATATGTTCTAAACACAAATGAATGATATATTTACTTTGTATGATTGCCATTTATACGTGAAAAGAAGTGAATAATGATGTTTTATCTTTCTAAAATGACATTACTAAATCCTGATGATATCTATACTTGCTTTACACGTTACTACTTACACGATATGAAAAAATGACTATAATACGAACATAAAAGACATAACAGTTATATAGATAAGCAATATACTATGAAACAAATCGAACAATGTAATTATGAATCAAAATGTGTTAGAGGATATTGAATTATATATCATGTTGTACAAGTGAAATGAATGACTCTTTTACTTTTCCTCTTTATTTTAAATTCAATTAAATATCTTAATATTTTATTCTCATTATAGATCTACAAATCTGCCATTTTAATTTACGGTTCGAATGAAAATCTTTTGCTGATACTAATTTCAAGAATAAGAATTTTTTCGATAACTTATACAGGTTGTTGCATATGTGGATTGACTTCAATATACATAAATTTGATTCGATAACAGTTTAACTATATCAAATGTAAAAAAATGAAATTATGCTTCGAATGATTAATTTTGATTCGAAAAAGATTGTATTAGTAAACAAAATCTTAATTTACATATGATTTTCAAAATAGAAAAAATTTACATTCTTTTAATTTATTCTAAAGAGATCAACAAAAGTTCTTGTTTATATATTTTGTTTTCAATTCAAAATAAGTTAATATTAATGAAAATCGTTTAAAGAACGAAAAATATCTCACTACTGATGATTTTACATAGAATACTAAAGAAATAAATAGTAGGTAATTCATTCGAAATATCCTGTAAATATAGAAAAGAAACGAATAAGATGTCACCAATCTATTTAGTAAAGAAAGAAAGAAAAATTACCATTTATAGATTAAAAAAAAACGATTCAAAATCTTTCTTCACAATCATATGCATCAAATTAAACGAAAATTAAATTTTAATTAATTGTTGAAAGACACAACAAAGAAATTACGAAATAAGTTATTCATGTATTAAATAGACATTTGTTTGCATTTTTACTATAATAGATAAATTTGATCGATCAATAATTTCTATTGAAAATTTATTCGTAATGAATTTTTATATGAAATATTTGATTATCTCAATGGCTGTGAAATCTATCAAACATTTTCAAATCTTAATTATCGCTTTCAACAACTTCTCAATTTTTCATCTTTTCCATTTAAAATAAACTTTCATCATTGAATATCAGCAGAAATATTTAAGAATAACTATTATCTGTTATTAGTCTATCAGAAGACATGACATATCTTGATGCTGATCGTTGGGAAAAATTTACTTTAATTAAAATATTATATATCTTTTAATAATGTTCATGAAACTTTAATGTATTTTGATAATATTATATATATTCAATCAGTCCATATAAATATATGAAAAAGAATTTATTTTTTGTTTGTAGAGAACAATGATATGAATATAATACACAGCATACGAAAATGAATTTTTCCAATAAAGTTTTTAAATCTATGCAAATTATTCTTATGAAGTTTACTACTGAATATGATTTTGATTTATTCATTGAAAATATTTGTCACATTTTAACTGCAGTATAGACTTATCATCTGAAAATTTTTCAAAAGTTCTTTAAAGATGAATTAATCAAAATTTTATATTTATTATCTGAACTTGATTAATTACAAATGTTTTTTTTTACTGTTATCACATCTAAAATATTTATCTATTGATGAAATAAAACTCGATCGTATATCCAAAAAAAAAATCAAATTACAAAAATTTGTGTATTCATAAATAATATGGATATGGAATTATTTATAAGACTTATTTTAACAAAAACTATTGGAAACTCTAATTATCAACTTCGATTATTGTCTTTTCATGTGACAGCAGCAGATGATGAGATAATTGAAAATGATTGACGATGAAAAATTGCTATTAGATTATAAAACTAAATGTATACTAAACATATTTATTTGAAATGAAAATGATTGTTATGTTTATTCTAATATAAAAGTTTTTAATAAATTTAAAAGTTATTTATTTCTTTGTATACAATTTTATTTCATATATCAATTCAAATAGAGAAAGAATCATCTTTCAATCATGTTATCATTCATCTAGAATACAACAATCGTATATCTTTGAATAAAAAGAAGTTAATACTGAGAAGAAACTTCTTTCTCTTGTGTGACTCTTATTGAAGAATATATGAGTAATTATATATATATATAGGACTTGAATTAATGAACTAGATCAATCAAGATTACTGTTAACAATAGCAATAATCTTACTTTTCTAGCTCGTGAAATTATCTGATTAGAAATTCTTCAATAATAACTTTACATTGAATACTGTATAGTAATCAGTGACAAAGTGACTTTTGCTACTATTAAGTTATATTTGCGAGAGAAAATCTGTACATTTACATTTGTTTTGTCACAAAGTTGATTTTAACCTTTTCAACAAGAACATCAAAAAATTTCTTAAGTCGCAGTGAGTTACTATACGACACATATCAAGTAATAGTAATTTAACTATTATCTTAATATAGTATCGTTCTCGTAGTCTCTCACATAGACGTGCTAAACATGTTTTAGTTAGAAAAAAGTTTATTTGAATAAAAACGAGTGTTAGAAGTTGAATATTCAATTCGATTCTACAAGTATGTTAAAAGATAACATTTATATTGAATAAAAAATTTCTAAATCTGCTCGACTTCGACTTACATATAATCTTGATGATGAATGTTGTGACTTGATAAATTCAAAAATCTCTCTTCGTAGATTATTAGTCCTTATATTATTTTCATTATGTGAATTAGTTTTTACTCAAAATTAGTTCTTTATCAAAAGATAAACGATGAGATTTTTATGTAAAGAAGAAATAAATAATTTTTCTTAGATATCAGATACAAGTAAAATAAAAGAAATTATTATGTAACATGAACAAGAAAACTGGACATGATTCATCAGCTATATTCATTCTTTATAGAAAAGAAAAGAATAAGATATCATTATTCTCTGTTAACAAAGAATTACTACCAAATACAAACATATATTTACACATTTTATTCTTTCTTCTAGATCATTTGTTCTACATTGACTTATTCAATGAAATTTCATTTTTATTAGCCATATTCAATCAAAAAAAATGTAAGTCATATAGACAAAAAAACAAAAAACTTTTTACTAATATTCAAGTTTTCATCTAGAATGTCAATAGTTTCAATTGAAGATTTATCTAATGAACTTTTTTATGAAATATTTGAATATCTTGATAGTGGTGAAATCTATCAAGCATTTTTCAAACTAAATCATCGTTTTCAACAACTTCTCAATTCTTCATCTCTTCTATTAAAAATAAAACTTTATTATTCAGAATCGAAAGAAACAATGATGAATAATTACAAACATATTTTTCTTTACAATAAAAATCAAGTATTATCAATTCATTTATGGTTATCAACAAATAATAATCAAATTATGTCATCGTTTACTATTGATTTATCATTTATTCGTCTTGAATCTCTTGTTTTTAGTCTTATTGAACCAGATTTACTTATTTCACTTCTTCCGAAATTAACTAATCTACCTCGTCTTTTCTCATTAACAATTGATACGTGGTCTGATCTAAAAGATCTCGGCAATATTTATCAATTGATTTTTAATCTTCCAAAATTGAGATATATCAAATATATAGCAATGGAATCCAATGATGTTGATATAACTATTTCATTGCCAATTGCTACCAATAAACAAGTCAATGCTATTGAATATCTTATTATTGATCATCCTTGTGCTTACGACGAACTTTCTACTATAATATCATATACACCACAACTTCGTCGTCTAAAGTTTTTGAATTTAAGTGAAAGTAATGTAAGCATTGGAATTATTAAGTCAATGACATTATCAAATTGGACACATCTTTCTATACATAATTATCAAATGACATTGTATGAATTTGAAATATTTATTAAAAAATTATATTCTTCAAAATTAAAGATATTATCATTCAATACTATAGTTGAAGATATTGCTTATCTTGATGCTAATCGATGAGAAGAATTTATCTTACAAAATTTGCCACAATTAGAAGAATTTTATTTAAAATATAATGCACATTTTGATGATAATTATGAAACTCCAATGTACATTGGAAAGCAAGATCAATTCAGTTCTCTATTTTGGATCGAACGACAATGGATACTAGAAATTGAAATCGAATATGATAATTTGATGTATTCAATCCGTCCATATAAGTATGTTAAAAAAAATATATATATATATTTTGTATTAAATAATTCATCTTTTTTTCTTTAGAAAAAGATGGTATGAATATAATACACAACATACAATAATCAATTCTTTCGTTCAATTATCTAAATCCACACGACTTATTTTAGTCAATGCATCTCCTGAAGGATGGTCTAAATCATTAACCATAAATAAATATATTAATCATGTTTTAACTGTAACAAAAATTCATCATATAGAAATTCATGAAGAATTATCTATTGGTAAATTAAGCGAAATTTTATATTTATTACCTGAACTTGATTCATTACAAATCTTTTCTTTATCATTTTCACAATCAACATGTTTATCGAAGGAAGAACTTGAAGGTCTTTTATTTTTATCAACTAAAAATCGAATTACAAAACTTTTTCTCAAGAAGATAACATTGATAGAAGAACTTTATTTTCTGATGGAAATTTTTCCTCATATCAATCATCTTCAAGTTAATTTGATTTATTCTATGGATATTGAATTATTTGTGCGACTTATTTTAATACATATAATGACCAAATCTAATCATCCACTTCGATTATTATGTTTTCCTATAGTAGCAGCAGATGATGAAATGGTTCAAAAATTAGAAAAAATGATCAATGTTGAGAATCTACTTTTTGATTTTATGATGAAACGTGTAATAAATGAAATCTATTTACAATGGAAATAATTATATTATTTTTTGTATTTATTCTTGTATAATATCGTTTAATAAAAAGTTGCATTGCTTCATGAAGAAAATATTTATAGTAGAAAAACTTCATATATTAATATAACTGCTCAAATATCGTATGTTGAAATGATTCTGAAAGTAAACATTAACCAGTAAATTGTATACATTTTAGTCTTCCTAATTTTCGCTTTACACAACTTGAAATATATCAAATGTTCAACATAAGAATTCACCATATCTGTCTCACTTTGTAAGATAATATGTTACTAGAGGCCCCTGTGAAGGGTTGAACTCAAGGGGGGAAAGCGGGACTCCTGGAGTGCGTACTCCCACTGTACTATCCTGTTCTTCCACTGTGCTCCCCTGTACTTCCACTGTGCTCCCCTGTACTCTCCTGTACCTTCACTGTGCTCCCCTGTACTCTCCTGTACCTTCACTGTGCTTCCCTATACCTCCACTGTACTCCCCTGTACTATCCTGTACCTTCACTGTGCTTCCCTGTACTTCCACTGTACTTCCCTGTACCTCCACTGTACTCTCCTGTACCTTCACTGTGCTCCCCTGTACATCCACTGTACTCCCCTGTACCTCCCCTGTACTATCCTGTACCTTCACTGTGCTTCCCTGTACCTCCACTGTACTATCCTGTACCTCCACTGTGCTTCCCTGTACTTCCACTGTACTCCCCTGTACTCTCCTGTACCTTCACTATGCTCCCCTGTACATCCACTGTACTCCCCTGTACTTCCACTGTACTCCCCTGTACTTCCACTGTACTATCCTGTACCTTCACTGTGCTTCCCTGTACCTCCACTGTATTCCCATGTACTATCCTGTACCTTCACTGTGCTCCCCTGTACCTCCACTGTGCTTCCCTGTACTTCCGCTGTACTCTCCTGTACCTCCACTGCGCTCCCCTGTACTTCCACTGTACTGCTCTGTACTATCCCGTACCTCCACTGTTCTCCCCTGTATATCCATTGTACTCTCTGTACTTCCACTGTACTCCCATTGTATTGTGGGAGTACGGGAGTCTTGCCTTTTCTCCCTTGGTTGAACGTGAATATTACCGGAAAGATTTAATATTATAGGAGAAATTGATTTAATTTACATAAGAAGTTCCTGAATGAAAAATATAATATAGATGACTGACATATATATGCATAATGAATGGACATATACGACGTATATCTGTATCTATATATAATGAATGAACATATACGACGTACATATATATCTATATATAATGAATGAACATATACGACGTACATATATATGTATATATTTTTTTTCGTTCTGTGACCAATCATATGAAAGTTCCTGACGGAGAAGAAAACTTGTACATTATAATATAGATACATCTCAATTTTGTCATTTGAGTTTGATGGATTCATCTGAAAAAAAGATAATTGATGAATTGGAAATATTCATGACAGAAACGAGATGCAATTTGAAAGTGTCAATTTATTTAAGAGCAACATATACACAATAGAAGCATCAAAAGAAACTAATTTGTGTTATTTATTAATCAACACGAATCAATGTTCTTGTTTCTATTCTTTCCAGATTCTTTTTTTTTCTGAACTATCAGTCAGGATTCTTTTTCATCTTGATCTTCCAACAAGAGTCTTTTCATTGCGAAATAGAAGGACAAAAGGATCCTTCCCAGAATCACATGACGGATGTCTATACTTTTTTCTTACCTCTCTCTCTCTTTCTATGTATATATATATATATATCGCTTACATTCACGTTTTCATTCATTTATATAACGAACATAAAATGGATAACATGACTATATTGATAAGAATTATCACTGTCTATACGTTTTAAACTAAAGTAAAGTATACTGATATGCTGTAATGAAATTTTATTATAGCTTGTAAGTTGTCGAATGAGTACTAACGGTAAAAAGCTATAAGTTTCGTTTATCTTGGATTGTTCTAAATTAAAGTAGTCTTTTTTAAACGTATTTAGAATATCATAGAAGTAGCGACAGTTCAAAACGAAAAATATGAACGACGCAACAGGTAGTAATAAGTAGTGACTGAATGGTTGAATCGATCCCTTTGCATTTGTAAAAGCATTTTTTTTCAACGAAATTGCTACTGTTATAGAATTTGTTCTCTTGTTTTATGACGTTGTTACTTTTATCAATGTGTTTATTTTTCATTGTTCTTCAAGTTCTTGTGAATCTAACTGTGCTATTGTATCGTGCTATCACTGCTTTTTCTTCTTTTTATCTTTTTTCATCTTTGTTGTGAAACGTATTAGCTCCTATGAAACCTTTTCTTCAGCAATCACAACCTCGTTAATTTTTAATCAATTATAGTCGTACGACATTATTCAAGGATTAATGATGAAATAGTCAAAAAAGTACTACTTAATCAATTATTTCGATTGAGTGCGACCTTTTTGGTTGTTTCATCATTAATCATTAAATAATATCGTACGACTATAATTGATTAAAAATCAACGAGGTTGTGATTGCTGGAGAATTCTTTTACATACAAAATAAAAATAACTAAAGTTGATACTAAAAATCTAATTATCGTATAAGAATATTAATTAAAATAGAATTCCACAAGAATCTTGTTGCATTGTTCAATAAATTGATTCTAGACTATTATGAAAAGATTCAGACCGGACTTCCAAGTGCAAGATTCTGTCCAGATTCGAGATTTCTTGTCTCGCCAGACAAGGTTCTGTCTACACGATTCTTGTCTGACTCACAAGATCTTGTAAGTCAGACAAGAGTCTTCCATTATATAGATAGAAGAAGAATCTTGAGAGATTTTTCTGCAATTAAAGAATCTGGAAAGAATAGAGACAAGAGCATCGACTCGTGCAATCAGCGAAATTCTAAAGGAACAGAAATATTTTTTTATATATCTCATAAAAGCAGCGAGGGTGGTGTGAGTGTGGGATGTAGGTGAATGGAGGTGTAATACCTTCATAACCACACTCCATCCCACACCCTGAACATCGTTGAAAAAACAAACTTCAAACGAAAAAAATTCCTTTAATTCATTTTCGTCGTGTACGTGAAACGTCTGGTGTCGTCACTAGCTGAAATATATGTTGTTGTTTCTTCTGTTTCTGAAGTTCTTCCGAATGAGCCAGAGTGCAACGTTGTTCACATTTTTCACAGTAATTTAACGAAGGACAATGAATACATCGGAAAAGAATACCTTCAACATCATTATGGCAGCCATCACACCTAAAAAAGATTTTTTTTTTTCATCAATCTATGGACTAAATCTATTGAAATATCTACTTGATGCCTCTGTGGACGATTCTGTATTTGTTTTCTGGATGTGGTAGATGACTTTTAATTTTGTCTGGAGTCGCATCGATAATTGGTATGTAAGGCGTAGCCTCGTCCGAGTTGAAACTTTTGCCACATCCCGATTGTTAATCACCTCCATGATATTTTCGTCCACATATCATGCTACTACATCCTCCCATATGTTGCACAACTCGTTTACAATGTGGGCAAAGACGACAATTCTGAACTTTGAAAGCTTCATCAGCCTTCAATTCTTCGTAATGACGACGCAATTCTTCGTTTCGCCTAGCATTTGCCCCTACTTGTCTTTCATAATCATCTAACTGAGAACGATAGGCTGCATCTTGCTCTGCTCGAGCTCTCCAATAATTACCGCGTTCTTCAAAGTGCAAAAACAAAACAAGTAAGTCCACTCTGAGTTGTCTCGAATCGTTCTTATTTACCTGTACTACACCAAACAAACCATTGTTGTGTTATTTGCACTACTTGCTGACAATTCGTTCGATAGTGATAGTGCTGATTACAAATCGAACAAAACTGGTTTTTACAAGAGTTCATACGACTCGAAAACGTGCATTTGGGTTTCGTGCTTCTACTACCCATTTACATTCTCGATTGGGACATTTGATGATGCCACGAGCATGATTGATAAAATTATTAAATGTCTTCTCTGTTTGATACTCATGAAATTTTCTTTTCTGTTAGTAGCCATAAAAAATTTTAACTAGCTGTACCCAACACAGTACAAGAGAGTATTATTAAAAATTACCTCTTTTGAGAGTGAGCCCTGTAACTTGATATTAGATTATTGTATCCCATTATCGAATAATAGCAGCTCCCTAATTTCTAACATCACTTTTAATCTTTAGAGTAGGTGTGCATCGTGAAAAGTAAAGTCACGACTGGTGTTGACCTTTGTCAAGGGTCTCTTCATGTGGTTTTGGTTTTTTTAAACTATTCGAATGATTCGAAGAGCCCCATTGTATGAGTTGAATATATTGAATCCGAAATCTGTCAAATAAAATAATACTGACTAAGAAGGATCGCTCGTTCCTGACATCCACTGGTTCGATTGTTAGTGTATTTTCCGTATGCAATGACGGGTATTATGTTTTGAATGGATAACATGTCGTGAACCATTATTTTCACGCGGAACTTTTCGATCATTCAATGGACTCGAGGATGTACGTATTGGTTTCATACATAAGGGTGCTTTTGAGAATTCTAGGCTATATGCGATTATCATTTCGATCTTCGAACAAAGATGCATCATGAGTGGGTGAGTGTATGACTTGTCAGACAAATGCGAACATACGAGAATATGAATGAATAAGCATAATAAATCATTTTATGAATAATATGAAATAATGAATAATCTTTTTTATATTTAATTCAGTCTAATATATTCCAGTGTTCTTATGTTTTTCAATGTTTTTGCACGTTTTTATAATTTAAATGAAAGAATTTCATTGTGAGTAAGATAAGTTTGAATATTATGAGAAAGCTTAAAATGAACTGAAAGTGCACGACTATCTTGAAATCTTCGTCGTTTATTATTAAACGAGAATCATCATAAATTATTCTGGAATATACTAGCTTCATGGTATTTGTCTTCATAAAGTTAAAACTTTTGTATTCACATTTTTTTTTAAATATCGATAAGATCAACTTGTTTCTCTTATGTCTCGATTAAATCTTCCACGATAAGAGCTTTTGGATGTGTTGAGAATATAAATAGTCTCTATTAAATTCTCTGTTTTTATTCTTGACCGATGAGGAAAAAAGACAAGAATTTAGGGTGGATGTGGGTGTGGGTGTGGATGTTAGAGAGAGCATATGCCTAAGGTTATGGGTACGACACTCAAACCGAAACCCAAACCCACACACTCACACTCACACCGCAGACTCAACACCCACATCTACTCACACCTCAACTTTCAGGAGGTATCTTCTCATGCTGCTGCAGATAAAACGTGGCATTACTGTCATCATGATTGTAAGTGGTGACAATTGCCATGCAGAGAATGCAGTGAGCATTACCATTGAATCTCTTATACCATGCCTCCCAACATTGAGTGCACATAACTTTATGTCCGCAAGGTGCGAAACGTAATGCACGAGTTCGTTCATCGCATACCATACATAATTTAAGTTCACTCATTTGTTGAATACGCTTTAGTTCCGAGACTAGTTTATTTGAAGTCGGTCGTTTTTCAGGTTCTTGCTCAAGACATGTTTGAATGAGAATCTTATAAGCTTTTATGATTGGGTCTGATTCTGCCGTTGGGAAAAGAATTTCCTCTATATGCGAGAGTGCATTAATATCAAGCCGCTCATAACAAGTTTTAGGTAATATCTCATGTAGAAGAAGTCCAAAACAGAAGACATCAACTGCAGTTCCATCATACACGGTAAATTCACTAGGTTTTTGCAGATGTGCAGCAACCATTTCTGGCGGTAGTGGAGCTGTACCTAAAAACGTTTGATTAGATAATCCAAATCGGCTAGTACCAAAGTCAGCAATATAACATTGATCATTATGATCAAGCATAATGTTACTGGATTTAAGATCTCGATGAACAAGATCAAGTCGATGAAATTCCTCGAGTGCTTTGGCAATGGTCAGTGCGAAACAAAGGGCTTTGGCAAATGATATTGTATGAATATTTCGCATCAAATATGTTCGCAACGACATGCTATATCTTGGCATTATGATCCAGAGTTCTTTTTGGCTATCGTTGATATTGTTCTCATATAAATAGAGAAATGGAACGATAAAGCTTGAACAGCAGCGTGTAACTGCTCGATGGTGATGTGCTTCTAGAGCAGCCATCTGTTCGTTTTCGGCTGATGGATTAAGTAATTTTTTCACAGCTAGATTATTTTCTGTGCCCCAATGAGCCGCATGTACACTATAGAAACCACCACTGTCTATTCGCTCGTCTAGGATTGGACAGTTACCATTTCGTTCGACTAGTTCAATGGCAGCCAATAATTGACATTCGACTTTCGCCAAAGGACCAGAAAATTGAGAAATAAGATGGTGAAGTGTTTGATGATCAGCAAGATGCTCTGTAATATAGCTATAGCTTGATATAACATTCTTGTCAAATGCTTTATTTTGTTCATCTATCCATGCAGTCAAATTACGTCCGAATGTTTCTTTTTGCTTTCCAAGTTGATCGGTGATTTTCTTCAAACAATGATCTGCAAATGCCTGACGATTAGTTTCATTCGACAAAGTGGCATACTCATCCATAGCAGCAAGAAGTTCATATACATCATTTTCACCGCGTGTTATTTTATTATGAATATATCGATTATAGAGATCTTTTTGATAGGCACTCAGACGTGTGGGTAAGCTGCGTATGAAACGCATCATTCTCATAGGTAATTTAATCACATTATCAAGAAAAATATTGAACAAACTAGTCTTTTGTAGAATGTCAGCAGAAATCTCACTTAGTACGTGTCGTTGAGCAATAGTAAGCAACTCATTTTTTCGTAAGCCATGCTATTGTTGAAAATGACCAGCGATAAAGTTCTTCACTTCATCTCGTCTTTTAATTATTACATCATTCGCCGCTACCTTAATTACTTGTTCTTGAACGGCTATTCTAACGTAGTCTATGATTGTTTTACGACTGTCTTGTAGAAGTCTATCAATAGGATCATCATTACGTATCATTAAAGCGGCTTGCTTAACAATTTCTCCTTTTGACCTTTCCAGTAAATTCAAAATGTTTGTGGTTAAATCATCAGTCAGTGTGGGTAATATTTTCTTGTATTCATCAAAAAACTTGCGACCCCATTTTATGGCTTCATCGCGAAGAGCCTTCCATTGATTTGGTAGACGAACGGATGTTGAAACAGTCACATCGAAATAATCATCAATAGTAAAGAGTATATCACGTGCTAATGTTAGTGTTGGCGTAGAATAGGCTTTCACGACGTATTCGACTAGACGTTGAAAGCTGAATGTATTAATCAAATTTGAATACTCCTCCCATGGATCGAAATCGCCTGGAACCGTGCAAATATCAAAACATGGACACTCATCAACCAACTTTGGCAAGCCACCAAGAACTTCGTTGGCCATTTCGCGTCGTCGAAGAAGGAGATTGTAGCAGTGTTGTCGTTTTTCACGTAGCTTATCACTGAAGAGATCGGATGTTACGCTTTCTGGATCATCATCAAGTAAATAATCATTAGCAATCGATATGCAATCTGCTTTAGTGTTCAAGAAAAATACCGATACACGTCCCATAGAACCCAGAGCATTCTTCATGGCCAGAAAACAATTCTTATCGGTATCACTAATTGTAGAATTTTCGTAAAGAAAGACCAAGGTGGGTTTAATACGTTTCACAAGCTTATGCAAATTATCAGTTAAAACTTGTTCACGGTTGTCTGAAAGGAAACCGGGTGTATCGTAGATGTCAATACCTAATGCGAGGACTTTTGATGGTAATGCAATTTCAACAAAACACTTAGCCCATTCATTGAATTCGGGCGACTTTTCATCAATATAACTAGGCCGTTTCACATGAGGTTGTATAATATCGGTGACACCTGCCCAATTGGGTTGTAATTGATTTTCAAATAAATGTGATAGATCACCTTCGCATTGGACTGATGTTTTCTCAATTGTATCGTAAACACGAAAGAATGCTTGTTCGGCTGGTGCATAGGTCAGCTGAACAATGTGTGCTGTTACAGGCCCAATACCTGCCGGAAGGATGTTGCCTATATCGGCAAACCGCTGAATAAATGATGTTTTTCCGCACGAATTGGGTCCAAATATGACGAGAGAGGGTTGACTCAGAACACTATGTTCATCTAGCATTGTGTCAGACACTTGCTGGAAGTGATCTTCGATGCGGTCATCATCATCATCAAAACAATTATCTATAGCTATTGTTGATAATATATGTCGAGAGTCCTCCTTAACCTAAACAGGCAAGATTCTATTCGATTGCTAATAAAAATTTTATACTACAACAACAATAAGAATAATAACATTTAACAAAAATGAAATTTCTAGAAGCCTAACATCATTGTTAATATAATTAATGGGAACGACATGAATATTTTTCCGAAAAATCTCCTAACATCATAGAACGGTTTCTATTGTACGTAAGCTTTGTCTTTAATTGTTATAATTGAAGAAAAATCTTTTGTTCACTCTTAAGATAAACAGTCATAAAAAAATGCAGTGCCTTGATTTTTCTTCAAATGTTAAGTAATTATAGACTCTATCTAATTAATTCGACTTGGTTCTTCGTGTATTACTTTCTTTTCTTGTCGATATTTAGGAGTTTTCTCGATATGGAACCCGATTCAAAAATCTATCATTAGCTCATAAGTTTTCGATATTTATACTACACAATCGTCAATCAATCGATTCTGATCTATGTTACTTTCTGGTATTGGAAAAAATTTTACTAAATTATATTAGAAGCTACAACTCTACTCCGTATATTTTATGAGAAATAAAAGAACACATAACTTACATGGGTAGATTTTATAACTTGTAGATTTTTTAGTAGTTTTGTTCGTATATGTTTGAATTCTTCCGCTGTACGACAAACAGTTGTCTTGAGTCGATGTGCACAGACGAGCGCTGTTTTCATTTTTTCATCATTATTCGTAGTCATCTACAAGTAGAAAAAGAAAAGAAAATAATGAGCTCACAACATGTCCAACATAAACTTTAATTTATGCTGAACGAATTCAGTCGCCACAGGTCTTTCATAAGTAGCCCTCGAACAAGTTAGCATCAGTTCATTAAACTCATCGATGATTGCCGGTGCACTTCCATCTAGTTCAATGTGACAACTCAGAGTTTGTCCGATTACGCCAAATCCTCTTATGTCATCGTTCGTTCCATTGAAAGTTAATGATAGTTTATGACGCAAACTGAGATCACAATCTTCGCACCAATCGCCCAAGTCAATTAATAGAACTCGACTTTCTTCAGTAACAATGATATTACTTAATACGACATTTCGATGAACGAGTGCATTCTCGTGTAAAGTTATTAGTGCATCAACAATATCATTCATCCATTGAAGAACCATTTTAATCGAAAGTGTTGTTGAACACTGTGATAAAAACTGTGCCAAACTTTGTGTCAATGATGGAAAAATCATCCATAATTCGGATGTTCCATCCTCGAGATAGTGCTCGTAAAAATAACGAAGGTTAATAATATTCGGATGACATAAGTTGGCTACTTGCCTATGATAGTGTGCTTCATAATAAGCTGCCATCGGTTGATTAATTAGAGATCGACTAAGTTTTTTCACAACTAAATTTTTTTCTTCTCCCCAGTTGCTCGTAAATATACTGAAGACAGTCGATTTAACATTGCCACTACAAATCTTCGGTTTACTATCATTGAATTTTGCCATATCCTCGGTTGCACAAAGTCGACATTCGATCATAATAAGACGCGGAGCATATTGTTCTAAATGATTGAGAATTTCTTCGTGAGAATCGAGTTGAGGTAGTACTTTTTCATAGTGATAGTCAATGAGCGATCTTAGTGTCGCCTTTTGCTGATCTCCCCATAATCTTACTGCTTGTTGCATTGTATCTTGTTGCTTTTTGATAATCTTCTGCATACTCAATAAATATCTATGAACAATACCATCTATTTGCTGTTTGGATATCTCATTTTGATTGCTATGTGGTTCTTTTGTGTAAGCTAATAATGTATCACCTGTAATCTCATCGGAGAAATTCAAATTTTCTAGATTTCGAGCACATTGCACAATTGGTATCGATATTGTGTTCACCATGTATAATATACCAGCACTAACAGTTGTTTTCATCTTGAGTTCACCGAGTAAGAGTGCTACAAAATCACTAATTTCTTGAGTGCCTAATGCTCCAATCAAGATTTCATTGAAGGCTGCATTCTGTGGGAAATCATTATTTCCTATTATATGCTCGAGTACATAATTCATAAATGTTCGAAGCGTATCTCGAACCGCTGGCTTTATTATTTGAAGGCGTACAGTAGTTATTAATGTAGGTTGAAAAGGATCTGAATTTGTGCGTATATTTGACAATGCTTCTGTGATACACTGTTTTTGTGTATTAAACTGTTGAAAAATGTTCGAAAAAAGATTACTCAAACAAATTTCTATGTGCATCGTGTATGCTTGAAAATAATTTTTTTCCCACTTCATAGCATCATTACGCAATTTCAACAAGTGTCCTAATGTACGATGACTTGTTAAAATTAACAGACTGAAAAATGCATCGATGATAGGCAATATAACTTTACATGCACGTGTACCCATAGCTATATCATTGTTGACCACAAATTGAATAATATTTTGAACAGTAGTTTCATTCATCAATGGACCATATGGTTTAATCGATTGTGAATTAACACTGCACAAATCAAAACAATAGCATTCATCAATCGATGCAGGTAAACCTTCTAATCTATCATTAGAAAGAAAAGGAGCACGCAACAATAAATGATAGCGTTGCGCTCGTTCATCAGCTAATACAGCACGAAATTCGTCGACGTTCATACCATTCTTGAATTTTGGCATTTTAGTTATGTCTGCTTTTGAATTCAGAAAGAAAATATTAGTGCTATCTAAGTCCTGCAAAGCAGTTTTCATCGCTAAAAAGCAACCTTTCGTAGCATCATCCGTAGATGGGTTGCCGTACATGAAGATAATCGTAGGATGAATTAGTTCGACTAGTTCGTGTAAAATTTCCTTGAGAACTGGAGCATCGTCGGAAAGAAAACCAGGTGTGTCGTATACATCGATTCCCAAAGCTAAAGTTGGTGATGGAATATGAATTTCCACAAGACATCGCGCCCATTCGGCAAATTCATGTGAAGCTGGATCAATATCTTCCGGTCGTTTAACATGTTTTGAGAGGGCACGTCCGACATTAATCCATTGAGGCTTTTCGCTAATAAAAAAAGCCGAAAGATTCACTTTGTCTTCGACAAGTGTTTGATCTCGTAGTGTTTTTCGAACATAGATGCATGCTTGTTCACTCGAAGCATACGTCAGTTTCGTGATTCGTGCTGTAACAGGACCATCACCAGACGGTAGAATTTTACCGATACCCAAAAACGTATGTAAAAACGCTGTTTTACCACTTGAATTTTCACCACAAAGTGCTATGTGAAGTTTATCCGAACTAATACGCGAATTCAGTTGTTTAATACGTGACCCATCGATTAAACGTGCTAGAACATCATTGAATCCTGCCAAACGTCTTATGTTTGCATTCGTAAGAAGTTCTTCACGTAGCTTGAGAAACTCATTAACATTACCTTGTACCAGACTACAAATATGATGATCAAATTGAATAGTAGTTTGCAGCGTTTCTTCGTGATTATTTTCTGCATTATTTCGTGCCATGTTTGCTATTTGTTAAATAAACAAGAATAGTTTGGTAAGTCAACAAATAAAATTCAAGATGTTGTTTTTTTCCTATGACCAGAGCATCGATTCATGCACTTATATCATATAATTCGCTCAAAAGAGTCCACAACGACATATTAACATTTCTTTCAACTTAACCTATTTAGCAGAGTAAGGCGTTTCTTAGCGAGTAGTGTCACATATCTAAGATTTTGGAGATGCCACCACATCTCCCGTGGGAGATGCCGCGTCTCCAGCGGGAGACGCGACACCCACACTCGAGAGATGTGATCATTCACCACTGGAGATGTAAGATCTCCTTTAGAGATGCGCATCCCCCACACCCACATCTCTCGCGCGAGATGCGGCATCTCCTGCGGGAGCCGTGGTAGCATCTTCAAAATCTTGGATATGTGACACTGCTGAGTTCTTGAGCCTCTGAAGGTTTATCGGAAGATGTATCATACAACATTTGAAGCGGTTGGATCAGGCATATCGATCCCGGCTCTGATTGTTTCATGGCAAACCTTTGGTGAACAAAAAACTAATAAAAAATATTGTTAATTAGTATTGGGATGGCAATGCTACGCAAGACTTTGAATTTTCTGCGTCTCACAAGTCTTACGGGTGTGCATGTGGATATAGATGTGGGTGTGAGTGTGAGTGTGAGTGTCGTTTTTCTTGTTTTTCACACTCACACTCACCCACACCCACACCGTTCCTTCAGAGTAAAAAGTGCACATTTTAACGCGTTAAAACGTGTTAAAATGAGCCCTTGTTTGACTCGATAGGATATTAATTCTTTACAGCAGACCATAGATCAAGAATCATGATAACATCATACAAAAGAGAATCAAAGTCTGCATCTAGTGAATCCTTGTAAACACCGGAAAGAAAAATCCACGAAGAACATACAAATGTATCCCGTTAATCTCACTCACCCTGTTTTTAGTACAATAGCTTGCTGAATGAAGAGTATTTGTCGAGTTTTCAGTTTGTCACTCGATTCACAAAATACCCAATAAAATGAATGAATGCCTTCTTTCATATTTTTTATCCTCACCGATAAGAATAATATAGTACGGACGCTCAGTCGAAGAAACAGAGTAAATAAGTGAAGCAATAGCAAATACTCTATGATTGGTACTTTGGTTTTCTGGTGGGACTAGAGATAGTTTTGATATTAACAGATAGAGAAAACCATTCTCTATCGAACTATCTTCTCAGTTTTTCTTAAAAAAAAAGAGGCAAGTAAAAAATAGATGGCGCTATCATGCAATGTGGATACGGTTGCTGCAGCTAAACATCGTGAAATATTTTTAGATCACTTCTTTAATATTACTCTCTTCGCAGTCGTTCTTAAATATAAACCTAACTAAAATTCATTTTCTAGTCCAACACGGTGTGGATGTGTGGGTGTGGGTATGGGTGCGAATGTAGGTAGGTGGGATGTTGTGGTTGTGAGTGTATTTTGTTTATACATAGATCCAGACTCACATCCATCCACACATACTCCATCTGCTATACACCACTTTCTTTTGAATATAGAAAATGATTCATCATAGCATTGATCGAACGTGAATGTGATAGTGCACTTGGTAAGATATGAAATTATAGATGGAAAAATATTCAGTGATTTTGGTCAAATCTTCCTCTTCTATAACGTAAAGAAAAAAAGTGATATGTTTCACTTAACAAACAACAAACCACTTAGAAGGTTGTACATGAAAAGAGAATGATATTTTACGTCGATAGATAAAAAAGTTGGTAGGCACAAAGAAAAATTAAAGATATAAAGCATGATGAGTAATCTGTGGAAGCCAATTTAATAGCAAAAGAGAGGCAGCTATTCACCATCTTCTATTAATAATACTAGATAAGAATAAATCACTTGACTCACTCGATTTTCTTTCTTTCGAACTAGAATTTTCCAACGATAGAAGATTTCATGTAGTGTAGTAGTAATTCTTCATCGTTTCAAAGCGCTCTTTTTCATAGAAGAGAAAAATGGCATACCCACCTAACGTTTATTACTTTTCCTTTATATTTTCAATTTTGCGTTTAATGTCATTTTCATTTTCCACTTCACCTTTACTCTTAATTTAATATAATGAATATTGGATCTTGAAAACAGTATTTGTGTTCAAACATAACAAATATATTTTCTGTCATTTAGTAATTATTTTAGATATTAATTCCAAATAAAAATATTACAATATCGTGATCTGTTTTATAATTCGACATTTCGCAACACACCCGGCCAGCTCTAACAATTTATTTTCATGAATGGCTAGCGATTCCTCGATGTCTAACCACTTTATTTGTCCTCTTACAAAGCGCATAATGAAAGAGCCTGTGGATGTGGGTGTGTAAGAAAAGAATATCCACACTCACATCCACACCCAAAATTGGATGCGTATAGTTCACACAAAATGTAGATCAACCGTAGCCTTAGCGCCCAAGTGCTTCAAGCTACAAGTAAGCTACAATAGTTGGCCGTTGCAATCCATTTAAACCTCATAAAACAAGAATAGAAGTCTTTTGAGTCGTTCTATCCCTCATTTTGTAGCTTTGGACCAAAGCTACTTTTGACATAAATTTTAGCAAATTTTATTAAGGTACTGATGAGAGTGATCATTTATACTGAAGACATGCATATATACAGACATCGTACAACACCATTGTGTATTTCAAAAATTAGCAATAGTTTCATGGATCCATTTGAAATTTCTAGAATGTGCTTCACCATAGTTGACGATTGTACTCTAAAAGTTTCAGAAAATTGTGTATATCTTTGATCATAAGCACGGATGATGATGTCTTATTGACGTCAAAAGCTTTGCTTCTTTCTATTGTCTTAATAAAACAATGCCTGTTGTTATTAATTTAATTTATACAATAATGACATATGATATATCTTCTTTTTCACTCGTGATATAAAAAATACATTTAAAAAATTTCATCGATTCGCATTCGTCTTTTTTTTCATGACTTTTCGCTTCAGTAGCAGTTTTGCTTTGGCGAATATAAAGAAATGCTTTTATCTGATAATTAATGGTGTGTTCTAATATTAATAATATATTGTAAACTTGATAAAAAGCTAATGCACGATTTGATGTTGAATGAAATCTAAACATAGAAATTAAAATGAATGAAAAAAAAAGTTTTATTTCTATGGATTGAGATTTATATCAGATATTTTTCTTACATTTTCTTGGTGAATTACAGGTTTTATTTATTTTGATTATCACAAAGTCTTTCTCAATAATATAAACAGGTTCATGCTCAAAACAAGTCATTTCACTATATATGAATCAGCTGTAAAAGTCGTTAGACGATCGTCATAGAATCAATCAATATAAAATTTCCTTGTTAAATATTATTTCAATGATCACTTTATATAATATAAGCTAGTGAATAAAAATGATCAATATGTTTAAAACAATGAAAAACTCTCTGAACAAGTAATCATATATAAGAATAATGGACATCAACAAACTTAAAACTTTCATCAAACGCAAAAATAAATTTCCTAATCGAAATATTTGAGTGAATGTATAAACATAAAGCCAACGTTGATAATAAATATCTATCTATCAGTGTATCAAAGTTGAACTAAGAAAAAAATAGATTCTACTCAATTGAAGTCTGACATAGCAGCAGTGAATTTTTTTCATTCATAATTGATGACGTTCTCTTCTTGCTTCCTCATCAAATACATATCTTAAAATAAAAATACGAAAAGTCAAAGAAATATTTTATTTCGTACACGTATTCTATAAATTGAATTCGTTCAAAGTATGTTCTCTGGAGTAACAACGTCATTCGTTTAAATCCAATCAAGCCTAAAATCTCCTTGACAATTCGTCCTTGAAAAAATGTCCATGAGAAACAATCCTTTGTTAGAAAATGTCCTTCATCCTCAGTTGTGATTTTTCAAAATACTATGTTACTCTAACATAGATGATATTGCACACCAAAAACACTTAAGCATATATTTTGACTGTTTACATAGATCATGGATTTAAGATGTGACTATGACTGTGCATATGCCATTGATCTAAGAAAAGAGTAATACTCACAGCCTTTTTCGATGGACCATTTCTCATCAACATTTTCACCAAGGACGAAAAATTGGAATTTTTATCAGAGAATGTTTTAGACTATTACTTTTAAATCTCACTTTTATTTGAATGAATTGTGATTTTCTACTCACTTTTTTCTTGTTAAGGATGACCATTATCATTTTTAAGAAGAAAAATACCTAATGTCTTTACTAAAGCTCTAAAAATACATCAGATGTGACTGGAACATCATATTCGTATAAGGTTTGATCGAGTGAGAAAAAAAACTATTATTTCAGTGTTTTATATTGTATGTTCTGGTTTGCAATCAGTAAAGACACTGATGATATTTTCTTTTTCTATAGATTAGAATTATCTAATGAAAATCAAAGAAAATTGAGCTTTGATTTAAAAAAAAATCCTTTTCTTTATTTCAACGACTATCATCGATTTCGTTTACTTCGACGAACAATTATTATATGTGAACTTTTTTTGGATAAATAAATAAAAGCTTGAATTATATATAGAAGTCTCATATGATTATAAATGATGTCGGTTGCTACATTAGTCTTAAGAACAGTCAACATTTGAAAGATATTTGTGGAAAAGAATGGTTACATAAGAAGATGTCAGTAAACTTCTTGCTGAATTTCGTTGACTGTTACTTGAAAATGAGGTTGTCGTTGAAGCCAATATTTGGTATGATAAAATATTTCTTGATAATTATAGTGTTTGTTGTCTCGATATCCAATAATACAGTTTAATTGAAGTCGTAGAAAGATCATATACGGTAATTTATTTTCAAATAGTGTTTGCCATATTATTGGTTCAAACATAATTTTTGTTTTTCCTTGAGCTTCTAATTTAAGAATCAAATGTTTTAAATAGGGACATATGGTTAAAAGTTGTTGAATTTCTTCAAATGTCCATTTATCTTGAAGATTCAAAGTAAGATGATTGAGTTTGAGAAGAATAATTGTATGTCGAAAAAGATCTTCATGTGGAGCATCAAGACAAGCTTTGAATCGACGAAGATTCGGACAATAAGTCATAAATGTCAACATTTCACTAACTGATAGATATTGAAGAATGGCATATTTTAAAGCAGAGAAATCATATGAACATTTTTCTCCTTTCCAATATCGTATATGATATGGTAAATGTAAATAACGAAGACGATTACCATTGATAGAATTAAAGATAAGTGACCAAACTTCTTTATACAAATCTGCTGGATAATATTGCCAAGTAAAATGTTCGATTGTAATTGATTCAAGTTG